GTAATGTGTGAAATAGGCTCTATATTTGTTTTATTTCCAGTGCACCTTAAGGTCCATGCACCTTATTTGTTGAATAAGCCTTATTTTACCCATTGGTTTGAAATATCAACTTAATCATATATTATATTGTTAGATATATACGTTTGTTTTTAGGATGCTCATTATATTTCATTGATCTACTTGATTATTTCTGTGCTGGTGTCATGCTGGTTTAATTGCTAATACTTTATTTTTTAATTTTTAAAATATTTTATAATTAACTTTGACATTAGAAAAAATAGGTAACATCAATCTGCATTTAAGCAAGCAAGAAAGAGAGAGATGGAACCTTTTACAACAACATGGATGGAACTGGAGAATATTAAGCTAAGTGAAATAATCCAGTTGGTGAAAGACAAATACCATATGATCTCACCTATAAGTGGACTCTATTCAACAAAATAAACTAACGAACAAAATAAACCACAGGCACGGAAACATGGAGCAGACTGAAAGTGTTCAGAGGGGATGGGGAAAGAGGGCAATGGTGGAAGGAAGGGGAAGGGACTAGAAAAAGAACATGTATGAATGACCCATGGACATGGACAACAGAGTGGGAATTGACTGTGGGAGTCGGGGGTAGGGGTGGGATGGGTGGAGGGGGGTAAAGCAATAAAAATTGAGACAACTGTAATACAATAAACATGATTTATAAATTTAAAGAAAAATATTTCATATAATAATGGTTTGGTAATGATAAACTCCTTTAGTTTTTCTTGTCAGGGAAGCTCTTTATCTGCCCCATGATTCTAAATGATATCTTTGCTGGGCAGAGCAATCTTGGCTATAGGTCCTGTTTTTCATGACTGAATATTTGTTGCCAATCCTGCGTAGCCTGCAAAGTTTCTTTTCAGAAATCATCTCACAGTCTTATGGGAGAGAACTCCCCTACAGGTAACTAACTGCTTTTCTCTTGCTGCTTTTAAGATTCTCTCTTTATCGTCAACCTTTGGCATTCTAATTGTGATGTTCTTGGAGTGGGCCTCTTGGCATCCATCTTGTTTGGGCCAATCTGTGCTTCCTGGACTTGCATGTCTATTTACTTCACCAAATTAGGGAAGTTTTCTTTCATTATTTTATCAAATATTTCCAATTTCTTGTTCTTTCTCTTCTCCTTCTGGCACCCCTATGATGCAAATGTTGGACCTCTTGAAGTTGTCCCAAAGGCTGCTTATATTATCCTTGCTTTTTGGATTCTTTTTTCTTCTTGTTCCAATTGGTTGTTTTTTGCTTCCTTATGTTCCAAATCATGGATTTGATTCTTGGCTTCATCCACTCCACTGTTGTTCTTGTGTAAATTGTTCTTTATTTCAATTAGTGTATCCTTCATTTCTAACTGGATCATTTTTATGCTTTTGAGGTCCTCACTAAGTTCCTGGAGCATCCTTATAACCAGTGTTTTGAGGCCTGCATCTGATTGATTGCTTACCTCCATTTTGTTTAGTTCTTTTTCTGGAGTTTATATCTGTTCTTTCATTTGGGCCATGTTTCTTTGTTTCTTCATTTTGGCAGCCTCCTTGTGTTTGTTCCTATGTATTAGATAGAGCTGCTATGACACCCTGTCTGGTTAGCATGGCCCTAATGTAGTAGGTATCCTATAGGATCCAGGAGCACAGCTTCCCCTATCACCCAAGCTGGGTACTCAAGGTGTGCCTTCTGTGTGGGTTGAGTAGACCCTTCTTTTGTAGCTGAACCTGGATTGCTGTTGGCAGGTCAATGGGAGGGATTTTTCCCGGGCCAGTCAGCTGTAAAAACTGGCTGTGACCATTGACCACCAACCTCTGCCCTCTGTGGAGGATCAGCTGTGCAGGGGGAGAGTGGTGGTGCCCCAGTGTGGTCTGTAGCTGCCCACTGGATAGGCAGGCTCTGGGGTTTCCTGGGTGGTGCAGGCCAAGGTCAGCCCCCACCATTTGCCTGGGGCCACCCTGCCCAAGCTATAAAGCAATCTGAGAAGGCTGCTATTTGTGCTAGGCTTGGAAATTCCCAGGTGAAGCCAAACTCTGAATCTAGGCTGGTTGCTGCTAGTGCTAGGTGTGGGGCCACTTAGTATGAGGTATGGTGGCTGGGGGCTCACTGAGATTGGCTGTAGCTTGTTTGAGAGGATTTAGGAAGTTGTGAAGCTTGAGCCAAGACTAGCCATTCATATGGAAAAGCCACTGTTAATAGACTGGGTAGGACTGAAAGCTGGGTGGGATGGAGCCCTCAGGAGATCTCCAGGGTGGGGCATACAGTGTTAGCCAGCTTGATGGAATCTCAGATATGGCACCTCCTGCTGGCTCTATGTGTCTGTGAGGGGAGAATTCAGGAAAGGGAAAATGGCCTCTGCCCACCTTTTTGTCTGGGAGAAAGCTGTTCCCCAGTACTTACCTTGATGCCAGATACTTCAGTTCCTCCCTGTATGCCACTGGTGCCTTTCAAGCTGCTACCCTGGTGCTGGAGAACAGATGGAGTGCGTGCGAGTAAGTTTATGTGTGGGTTCTTTAAGAGGAATTTTGGGGACTCCAGAAGTTTCTTCTACTGATTCAATCCCTGCTGGATTTTGCAGCCAGAAGTTATGAGGAATTATCTTCCTGGCATAGGAACCCAGTGCTGGGGGCCTGGTATAGGGCTGGGACTCCTCACTCCCAAGTTATCCCTCCCACATGTGGATATGGGACTAGCCTGTTCCATGTCTTCGCCACCCCACCAGTTTATATGGATGTGGTTTCTTCAATTCCATAGTTGTCAGACTTCCATGCAACTGAATTTCTGGCAGTTCTGAGTGATGGTTGTTCTAGAGTTTAGCTGTAATTTTGATGTGGTTGTGTGAGGAGGTGAGCCATGTTTTCTTATCCCATCATCTTGACTGCTAGAAAATTCTCAGTTCATGCAGGTAACAGTCTACAGCTTCTTCATCAGTGTAACTGAGCTCCCCAACACAAAAAGTCCTGTTTTTGAATCAGTGAAGCCGGTTGCTATTCCTTTGAATATAGTCCTGATCATCAATTTTTTCTGCTTCAACCTCAAGATTAAATCAGAAAGAATTAGTCCTAGAGAACGAGCTGGAGCAAATCCAAGTTTCTGCTGTTGACCCTCCACCTCCCTACACACTCCTCTCAGTGTCCTGGCAACAAGACACAATCCTAGTAAAAATTGGACAAAACTTCTTTGGGGAATCAGATAAGAGTCAGAAAAAAAGGTATGACACCCTCCCCAGTGCAACAGCTCAACTAGAACATCCCAAGGGGGAAGGCCACAGCCAACAAGCCCCACCCACACCCCTAGACCTTGCAAAGAGCTCACTGGATCCCATTCTCTTCAGCAGATAGCCACAAACCAATGGCGGAGGGGGGGGCGGGGGGGGGGGGGGCGGGGGGGGGGCGGGGTACAGAAAGGAGATGCTCTGTTCACAGTCACTCAGGCGCCCAGGATCCCCCAGGCTGGTGACTCTGCCCTCCAATAGGCCCAAAGAGCCCTCTCAACTCAGCTGATAAAAGGGGACAGGGAGCAGATTTTTAGGATTCAGGCTTGAAAGGGGCATACACTAGTTCTGCTCACATTCCAGCAGCCAAACTCAGTCACAGTGGCCCACCTAACTGTAAGGGAGGCTGGGAAATTCATCCAGGTGATACCCCAGTAAGAAGAGAACATGGATGCTGGTGACCAATAGCTGTCTCTGCCAGATAATACACTCAAAATGTTTAAAAATCAAATCAATGATATATCCTTAATCAGCCAAAAAAAGCACTCTCCCTGCACACACAGTACAAAAAAAATGGTAAATCATATAGACAGCTCACAATTGATTACACATCTATAGAGATCATTTCAATGATCGGCAGGGCTGACTACCTGCCTCCCTTACCCTTTGCCGAGGATAAGAACTTGGAATCCCAACTTACCTACCCACTTTGAGAAGGGGACTGAGAGGAATGGGGGAGTGGCAACCCCAACCATGTTACACCTGAATTCATGTCATCAAGAAGTTTTACTGTATTTGTCGAATTCATACATGAACACAGGAACGAATGCAAGGTGCTGTGGAAGCTATGGAGAAGGACACCTGCATATCTCTCTCTCTGAACTCCTACCTTCTTCCATTGGCAGGCATCCTTTCCAACTCAGTTGATAATATCACCTCTTCTGGGAAGCCTCCCCCCAACCTCCACCCCCCACACCCTCACACCCCCACACCATACATTAAGCATTATCAGGTTCCACCTGCTTGCTCTGTATTCCCTCCTTTATCCATTTTGCTAATGACAGTCTGCTGTTAGACCACCTGGGCCTCGGTTTCCTTTTCTGTAAATCACGAGTACACTTTGTTACTCCACTTCCAGGCTGAGTGGCCCCAAGGCGTCCAGGGCCCAAGGCCAAGGCCTCAGAAGTCAGGCTCCCATCCCAGGCACGCTCCTGTTACAGTAGTGGCGCAAACTAAACTAGGCAAGGACTTACCCGGGAGACCCCGCCTCCGCGCCTCCACGCGCATATTTATGCCCCGACCCTTGGCTCACCCGCCTACCGAGCCTGCCAGCACCCGACTCCCGCAGCCAACAGTGCAGCAAAGGCGACTCTACACTGTCCTCAAAGTTCCCGGAATTCTGGCCTCTTGTTCAGTGCTCGGGACGGGGGATACAGCTCCAGGCCCTGCAGGGGACAGAACGACAACACTGTCCCCATCCTCTATGGGCCCTGAGGTGCCCCGGGCGCAGGCCCTAAGATGCGTCTCCCAGCCCTTCGCATGCCAAGTGTTTTCCCAAGAGGCACCTCCGGGACTGCGCGACTCCCCCGTTTTACAGAAGCCAACACTAAGCCCGAGAGTTTAACCAGAGAAGCGCCTCCAACACTACTTCCGCGACGCCTAGGGTCCCTCTTCCAAGCTCCAGACCTGGCGGGCAACGGGTACCGGCCACACCCGGGTGCCCACTCCTGCAGCACCTGAACCCGCACCCACCGGCGCAACCAACCGCTGCTGCACCTACCTCCCTCGGGCGGATAGGGGCGGCGGCCGCTGCCCACAGCCACGAGGATCCAGAAAAGGTGGCAGAGGCTCCTAGCCCGGTGCTCCAGGTTGCAGGGCGGAGGCACCCGCCACCGCCCCCGCCGCGAGTGCCGGGGAGCTGAGGACGGGGAGTGCGGGGAGGCACTCGGGAGAGGCAGTGGGGTCGCTCTGGGTGGACTGGGCGATCGGATGGGGCGATTGCAAGGCACGGGGACTGCCGGAACGATCCTGGGGCGCAAGGAGCTCACGGGGACACTGGAAGACTATGGGGCGATGGCGAGCGTGTCAGGGGTACGAAGGTAGGCGACCATCCACCAAGACGGAGCAGCTGTGGCGTGGGGCCTGCAGGCACCGGTACGGAAAAGCAGAGCTCCGGCGGGGGCGGGGTTGTGGCGAGGCTGGCGCCCTGCGCAGCCGCTCACGTGGCCGCCCCTCCTTGGTTGTCAGCACACTAGTAGACGCTGCACACGTCTCTATCAGCTCCAGGGCGGTAACAAGCGTTGAGTTCCTGGCTCCACCCGCTCAATACGCCACATTAGGATCAAAGTTAAGGGGGGTGGGGAATGCCCTTCCAGGGGGTAATTTCAGAAGAGACAGCCAACTCCTCCACCCTCACTGACCCGCTTTCCCATTCTCTGTGGGTTGCCTACGTAGTTCCTGCACGCGAGTCCAAAATCGCTAGTAATCCCATTTTGCAGGAGTGTCTAACCTGCGGCCCAACACAAAACCGTAAATTTACTTAAAACATTATGGGATTGTGTGTGTGTGTGTGTGTGTGTGTGTGTGTGAGATTATGTGTCACAATGTATTTAATGTGTGGCCCAAGACAACTCTTCTTCCAGTATGGTGTAGAGACGCCAAAAGGTTGGACACCCCTGCACTTCAGTGTTTGTAGAGATTTCTATGCATATCCTAGAATATTTTTATTACAGAAAATTGCTTGATTGTTTTTCTGATTTCTGCTTTGTGAAAACTTAGGCACTTAGGACAGTTACAACTATTTGTGTCATTATTTGACTAATATCCCCTCTAGACGTTCCTTACCTGTCTAGGACATTCCTGTATTCCTACATCTTAGCACATGTCTGGCATAATACAATAAATGCCTGTGGAATGAATGGATAAATGTGTAAAGGTATAAAGAAAAGGAAATACAACTAATGGTAACTACTGTAAACATTTTGATATTATATCCTTCCAGATACTTTTCTAGTGAAATTTTAGAAATTTCACAAATCTTATAGTAATAATAATGGGGATATTTATTGAGCAGTTTATTTCATTTCACTGTCACACCAGCCCAATAAGGTAGGTTTTATTAACTCTGTTTTATATATCATAAAACTGGGGCTTATAGAGATAGCTTTGCCCAAAAGATTTCTAAGGTGGTTCTGCTTGGCAGAGGACATGTATACTTCAGGGCTGTGTTACTCTGTGCTGTAAAAGGGTAGGGGAATTTGAAGGATCTCACAGGTAAGAGGGAGGAAGGAGAAAGGGAAAGGCTTCCAGCAGAGCAGTGATTTTCAACCAGTGTGCTGCAAAAAATTTTAAAACATGCAATATCTGACTATTTAGTCTGGGGCACTGACCTCTCTTCCCATAGAATGTCAAGTAAAAAAATGACAGCAGCCAACATAGCCCTTTGGTGTGAATGCCCTGTCTTGAGCCATAAATATATAGTCTATATAATAGATTTGCATCTTACTGATCATGGGCATCATGGGCATCACTGTGTCTCGTTAATTCGTGGTACCAGAAATCCTTACATACAAGTATAGGCACCTGATTTTTTGAAAAGTCACTTTGGAGAATAAAGGGTAGGTAATTACTATTATTATTTGCAAATCACTCACAAGTACATCTTTTCTTTGGTCAGATCAGCAAAAAAATGTATTCTTTGGTGTGCTGCAGAATTTTAGTAATTAGTATATGTGTGCCATGATAAGTAAAAGGTTGAAAATCACTGCAGTAGAGCAATGTTTAGTGGGGGATGTTTAAATAGTTTGCCAACATCACTCCCTATGCCCCCAAGGCTTTTCGTCAGAGCCTCCTTGGGCTGGAGTAGTGTATGGCCAAACTCTCCCATGGAACAAGAGGGAGTGCTGAGGCTCGTGAAGGTGAGCCCCAGGCAAACGCAGAGACCACCAGTGAGGCAGACCAGAGACAGAGGGACACTGACATCTGGGTGTGCGTGTGGATATACATCCACACGATACACATCCTTGAACAATACAGGTTTGAACCTGTACTATTTTTGATCTGTAGTTGGAAATTCGTGAATATGGAGAGTCAACTGTATGCCCTGAGCCACACCATTTTATATAGGGGACTTGAGCATCTGCGGATTTTGATATCTGTGAACCACAGATACCAAGGAACAACTTAAGTTTTGGGGGAGTCAAAAGCGGTATGTGGATTTCTGAAAAAATACTCAGCTGAAGATATGTTTATTGATTTTAGAGACAAAGGAAAGGAAAGAGAGAAGGGGAGGGAAGGAAGAGAGAGAAAGAAATACCTATCAGTTGTCTTCTGTATGCACCCTGACTGGAGATCAAACCTTCTACCATTTTAGTGCATGGGGACAACGCTCCAACCAACTGAGCCACTGGACTAGGGCAGCTCTATGGGGTTTTTAACCACTTTGTGGTCAACTTTATTTACATTTTTCTTAACAAGAGTGGGCCCCTACCTATTGCTCATTGTCTCCTTCATCACCAGGCTGTGAACACGTTTCTCTGGTCAAGAGTCCCCTGTCATTTGCAACGCCTCCTCTGACAAGCCTTTTTGGGGATGTAGTAAGAACTGATATTTACACAGCATTCACTCTGTGCCAGGCACTGTGGTAATTGCTTCATAGGCATTATATCTTTTAATTTTCATCACAGCCGTCTTATTGTCCCCACTTCATACACAAGGAGACTAAGGCAGGTTAAGTGACTTTCCCAAGGTTTTACAGTAAGTGGCAGGGCCAGGATTTGACCCAGGTCTGGATGTATACTGGCTCCTTCACTGTCCTGTCCCTAAGCCTAGACTCTTCAGTTTTGCGACTCCTGAAAATTCAGATTTCTTTGGGAAAGCAAAATCCTTCAGCTTACCAGCTGCTATGACCCCTGCAGGGAATAGGTTCAAGTTTATGAGGGGGGTGGGGTACGGGCCAATATACAAACATCATCTTAGAAGGTGGTGGGAACAATGAAAAATAATGTTCCTGAGCCCCATCACTAAGAATTTTACCCGTTGGTGTCTTTGCTACAAGTTTTGAAAAACATAAGATACAGAAGATATTTTGGTTTGAAGTGTTGGTTCTGTTGGTCACCTCAAGAAAACTCCTCTGGTTTTTGGCAAAAGACAGAACTGCATCTGAAATTCTGACAATAGGAAAGTCAGGCAGAATCAAAGAGTATGAGTTATTCTGTCCACGTCCAAAGCCAGACAAAAACAAACAAACAAAAAACCCAAAATGTAAACAGACTGAACAACTTACAGCTCTGTGGCCATGGGCAAATTCTCTGAGCCTCTGTAATTTTTGTCTGCCCAGCAAGTGTCCCCCTTCTTTGTACAACATCATTTGTTTTCAGGGAACCAGCCCCCACCCCTATTCTCAGTTTATGGGAATAGCCCTCCCCACTTCCCGGGCTTTAAGGGTTGACCCAAGACCAGATCTGGCCAATCAGCATACTCCACTCCCTTACCCTACTGATTGGTTCTAGATGAGCATGTGACCCAATCCAGGCCAATGAGACACTGATCTGGGTCTTCTATAGCAGCCATATAAAAGGGAATCTCTTTCCCAGGGAGTTGTAAAGCTAGTAGGATGTAAGCCTAGGGTTTCTGGGTATTCATTCTTATGGCAAATATTTATTAAGCTCCTACTGTGTGCCAAGTATTGTGCTAGGAGTTGGGGGAAAGGGAAAATGAAAATTCCTCAGTCATTATTCCATATCATTATAAACTGAGAGGTGTGCTATGAGTGAAAAGCACAGGGGGCAATGAGGGATTATAAAGCCAAACCTGGTAGGAAAGCTACTCTGAATAAATGACATTTGAGTTGTGCTCAGAAGGAGGAGTAGGCATCACTTCCAGTAGCTGTAGGAATACAGGTACCCTGAGTAGCCTCAGCAAGGTGGTGTGGATCAGGTTATTCTTGGTTTATGCTTGGTCCTTCCTTTATCACCTCCTTTAACCATCACACAAAGCTGTTTGTTGAAGAGTTTGGGGGTAACAAAATAGAATTAAATATAGGAGAAAAACAAACTGTCTCTTCAATGTTACAGTATCCAAGAGGAAAAATAAACCTTTCATGGGGGACCCTTTGTTGGCACACTCCAGTTTCAAACCTTGCTCCCCTGTTCTGAAAGCTGTCCTTCCTTCTTTCACACGGACAAACATTACCCCTTCAAGCTCTACTAGAAAAATCCCTTTCTCCGCCCAGATGGATTTGGGTTTTCCTCCTTTCCCATCACTGGAGTAATTGACAGGACTCATCCCACAGAATGCAAAAGATATCACCAAGAAAGTGAAAAGACAACACAGAAAATGGGAGAAAATATTCAAAAATCATATATCTGATTAGGGAATTGGAACTAGAATATTTAAAGAGCTCTTACAACTCAATAAATAAAAATGGGCAAAACCTTTGGACAGTTCACCTAAGAAGACATACAAATGACCAATAAGCATATGAAAAGATACCCAACAGCAAAATGAAAATCAAAATCACACTCACTAGAATGACTAATAAAAAGTCAGATAATAACAAGTGTAGGTAAGGATTTGAGGAAATTAGAACCTTCATACACTTCTAGCAGGAATGGACAACAATTTGGCAGTGCCTCAAAATGTTAAACAGGTCTACTGTATGCTTCAGCAATTCTACTCCCAAGAATATACTCAAGAGAAATGAAAATGTATGTCCACACAAAAACTGAGTGTTCATAGCAGCATTATTTATAATGGCCAAAAAGTGGAAACAACCCAAGTGTCCACCAGCTGATGAGTGGATAATCAAAATGTGGCATAGCCATACAATGGAACATTGGCAATAAAAAGGAATGAAATACTGATACATTCTACAACACAGATGTATCTTAAAAATATTATGTTAAATATAAGGAGCTATATACAAAAGGCAACACATTGTATGATTTCATTTATATAAAATGTCCAGAGGTGGAGGAGAGACTGTTAACTGTCATACACACTGGACCTGCGGCAGAATGGCACTTTCTTCCCACCACCCTCACCTTCGAGGGTTGTCTGATGGAAATCGATAGTCATTCTCACATAAATCAGCACCCCTGCCTCCTACTTTTTGGAACAGGCCATTTACCTGGCGAAGCACGTAAAGTAATTTCCCATACCTGTGGCATTCACATACTACTCCTTGGCTCAGAAGGTCCTAGGGCTTAACGGACATGAGAAACACAGACCATC